AACAAGTCAAAGTCTCCCTGCACCATGCCAGAAACACCAGTAAGGGCACCATCTTCGCGCCTGAACTCCGCTTCATGACGGAGGACAAGATCCTGGCGGAGCTCAGAGATGAGCAAGTTTGCCATGTCCGTCGGCTGACGACTTTCAGAGATGGTCAGCGTCACGACACCAGCCTGCTCGTTATCACCTTTGGTACCACCCGACTTCCAGATTCGCTCACCGCTGGTTACCTTCGTTATAAAGTGAGAGTATTCATTCCAAATCCACTCAGGTGTTTTAAATGTCAACGGTTCGGACACGGCAGCAAGTACTGCAAACAGAGTGCCAGATGCTTGAAGTGCGGCGAGACTCCTCACGAGGGATCTGCCCGCACATCACCCCAGAAATGCCTCAGCTGTGGAAGTGCTGATCACGCCGCCAACTCTTCTCAGTGTCCCACGTGGAAAAAAGAAAAAAGAAATTTGTTCTGAAAAGGCAAAGACAGGTGTGTCGTACCCCGAAGCAAGGCGCACAGTTGAATCCAAAATGTCGTCGCAGCCCAGCAAAACATATGCACAAGTAGCAAAAGCCACGATGGCCACATGTGCAACACAGACCAACCCTGCCTCCCCTGAAACAACCCACCTGCCTCCCCTGAAACTTCTCAACCCTCGGCCCTCGGTTTCAGCTGAGTCAACTACACAGACCCAGACGAAAAATCCCGTTGAGTCGCCCCTGGCTAGACGCTCGGATGCCCAGGCGCCCGTACACCCCCGTCCCCAGGTTGGCCGGCGTTCCAGTCCGCCAGCTGTGCGTGATTCACGTGCGGGTCAGGTCGTCTGGCGTTCTAGCCCCCCGGCTATGAACAGTCGGCGGCCCGGACCCTCTGGCCACCACATGAACATTACCTCCCCTCCCCCCACCACAACACCTGTCAAAACCCGCCCGAACGAAGTCCGCCGGTCCCGTCCATCGGTGAGGGTGGCGATGGGACGGCCTCGGTCTGTTTCGTTCGGGCGATTCCCATCAGCCGGTGGGAATGGATCCTTTCATCACGAAATATCTTTCATCTTACAGTGGAATTGTCGCGGCCTCATTTCAAAATGGTCCGAAATGAAAGCACTTTTGGCCGTATTAGCTCCAATCATCATTGCCGTACAGGAAACATGGTTTCGTCCAACCGACACATATAACTTTAAAGTGCCAAATTACTCTTTATATCGCTGTGACACCACGGACGGTGAGCGTCGCCCAGGTGGGGTGGCGCTGTACATCAGTCAAGAATTAACACACACGCCACTCCCCTTAACACACTTCTTCAGGCTGTTGCATGTTCAGTTCGACTGCATGGCCGTACCATTGATATATGCTCAATATACATTACACCAAATTATAATAATACGGAGCTCTTAAGGCAACTTGACCAACTCGTTGCTCAATTTCAAAACCCTTTTCTCATCCTCGGTGATCTCAATGCTCACAGTCCAGCTTGGAGTAACGGCACCCAAGCCGTTGATCGCCGAGGACATTTGGTTGACTATTTTATTGGCAACACCCGAGTAGGTCATAATCAGTTACACTATTCTTTTTTCGTAATATTTCAGAAGATATGCTTCGTTTTATATTGGCAGTTTTTAATGATTTGTGGTCAACCCATGTCTTTCCTGACGCCTGGAAAGACACCATCATTATTCCACTTGCAAAGCCAGGAAAAGACACCAAAGGTCCATCAAATTATCGTCCCATTGCACTTACCAGCCGTCTAGGAAAACTTTTTGAGCGGATGTTGGTGAAGCGAATCTCTTGGATTGTAGAATGAAACTGCCTGCTCAAAAAATAAAATCATTGTGGTTTCCGACACAATCGTAGCACAATAGACCGTATCATCAGACTTGAAAGCTGACATCAGACGTTCTTTTAAACATCGACACCACACAACTGCTGTATTGCTGGATATTAACCGAGCCTACGACATGGTCTTGCACTGCACTAATTTTCAAGCTCCATCAGTTATGGTTTAAAGGCCACTTGGCAGATTATCTTATTGGGTTTCTTTCCGGCATCAGACCATTTCGTGTGAGATGCAGATCCGCCGTTTCCGACATTAACCATCTAGAAAACGGCCTCCCACAAGGGAGCTGTATCTCACCACTTCTCTTTAATTTTATGATAAACGATTTATTTGACTCATTACCATCGGGCATTTCCTCTTCACTTTTTGCGGATGATAGCGCGATCTGGTGTTCAGACGCTGAATATGACCATTCGCTGTCACGGCTCCAAGCCGCCCTAAACAAGGTGCAGCAGTGGTCAGAGCGATACGGGTTCCGTTTCTCCGCTCCCAAATCTGCAGTTATGATTTTCAGCAAAAATATGCGTGGTACTCCCAATTTTCGGCTTCGACTAGATGGACATTACATTCCTTTCGTTTCGTCTTTCAAATTTCTTGGCATCGTACTTGACCCCAGATTATCGATGCGACAGCACGTGGAGCATGTTCGCTCCAAATGCCTAAAACGACCAAATTTCTTTAGATGCATTTCTGGGTCAAGATACGGTGCCGACCGCCAATCGTTATTACGTCTATACAAATCCTTAGTTCTTCCCATCATTGAATATGGCTCCGTGGTATATGCAGGAGGCAGCCAACACACTCTCAAACCACTGTCTACCATACAAAATATGTTTTTGCGAGTTGCCCAAGGAGCTCTGCGTACTTCCCCGATTTCAGCGCTTGAACTGGACGCTCACGTTATGCCTCTTGCCCTCCGACGAATGGAACACACATTGAGAAACATAACAAAAATGCGACAAAATCCCAGTCACCCAGCATTTGAATCCATACATATCTTACCTCACATTCACCATAACTACGTAGGACCGGCAGAACGTCGCTCAGGACTTACAATAGCATCTCGAACCACTGTCTACTGTACCACTCTTCAGTTTACTTTACCGCCTTCTTCCGTGCCACCTGCTTTAATAGTACCACCATGGCAGTTGACCCCTCGGAAAGTTTTTTTCTTTTTGATGATCCCAAACGCATTTTCACAACAAGTTATGCTCAACAAACATTTAATCGTCTTATTTTCAAAAATCAAAATAACAGCTTTATTTACACCGATGGCTCCAAGGCCAATAACCACACCGGATGTGCAGTTATTTGCACTGAGCATTACCATACAAATTTTCGGTTGCCAGATTACACCTCAGTATATTTAGCTGAATTATTTGCTCTTTTCCTTGCATTGCAACACATTCAACAACACACCCATACAACGAAGACAATAGTGATTTGTTCGGATTCAAAGACAGCTGTGCAATCTGTTATTGACCCAGACTTCACACACCACCTCCTTGTTAAAATCGTCGATCTCTATCATATATTACACACAGAGGATATGAATATCAAATTTCTATGGATTCCAGGACATACAGGCGTCATGGGCAATGAACGGGCTGACCAACTAGCCAAGGAAGCTTTGACAGACCCACACATCATGGAGATCCCTGTTGATCATGCATCTACAAAACATTCCATTCGCACAATGACAAAACATTTTTGGCAACAACGATGGACCGACACTACCAGAACTCAACACTTCATGGTATCAAACCAGACATTACCCCTTGGCTATCAACGCATCGTAAAGACCGACTGAAGGAGAAGGTGCTGGCCCGTCTACGAATGGGACTCACTACACTCACACATAGTTACATATACTTAAGTCAACCTCATCCTCACTGTCAGCCGTGCGATCATCCACTTTCTGTTAAACATGTTGTTGAGTGCACAAAATATCAACAGCACCGCAAATATATGCAGGCCTTTTGTCGTAATCAAAATATAGAGTTTTCTTTAAAAAACGTCCTTGGCGATGACCATCCTGAACTGCTTAACATTGTCTTTCACTTTCTCAGACTTACCGGTTTGCTTCAGGCTTTGTAAATGTCAATAAATAATCCTTTTCTTAACATGCATAATTACACCAATTTGAAATAACATCATCCAGGCGTGAAATGGTCCGAACAGGCCGAAACGCCTCAAACAAATAAACAAACAATATCGCTAATATACTACTTGTGCAACCTGACAGCGCAGTGTTTATTGCTCTTCGTGATCCGTCCTTCTCTGGACGCGCTTCTCTGTCAGTCCGGGCCGGCATTACCTCGATGCCGGCACCGAAGTTTCAAACCGGACCAGCACGACCCACGCAGAAGTGCTAGTCCCGGCCACTCGGTTGACAGCCCGAGTCCTGAGGTGCGGGTGATCACGCTTGTGTCGCACCGCACGGGAGCTCGGGTTGGTAACTGAAGAAAACAAAGGGCAACTACGGCCACATTTTTTTCTTTCGTCGCCGAATACAGTGACGTGCTGACCACTCATATTGAAAGAAATGGGGGTGTACGAACGCTTCAGAGACACCTGACACGGTGCGAATGAGTAGAACACTGCTAATGCGTTATTATACCGTTTTTGTCTAGTGTAAAATTAGAAGCTCTGTTGTCATGTGTACACTGTGTAGCTGTGTACACTGTGCAGCTGTGTTGTGTGTACACTGTGTAGCTGCGTAGCTGTGTAGCTGTGTTGTGTGCACACTGTGTAGCTGTGTAGCTGTGTTGTGTGTACACTGTGTAGCTGTGTAATTGTGTTGTGTGTACACTGTGTAGCTGTGTACACACGAGTTGATCAGCGCACATCATTTCTGATATGCATTACCCTACGTAAATGAAAAACAAGGTCAGCCGTGTTCATAGAAACTCGGAAATGAAATTGCAGGCACAAAGATAATACTAACATATGTGGCTCGCAACCTTTATTACCTGACTAGCAGATTTGCGAATTTCATGGCATCAACATGCTCACCAGCCTATCGCATCTCTGCGGCCAGCTACCACCGGGCATGCCTCTCGTCATAGCTCCTGCCCTGCCCCCTCCCCCTACCATTCGGTCCTGGTAAACAAACGTTTGTCACACATCGGGCGTCAAAACGGCTCAGAGTGATCGCCAGCTCCGGGGCATGCACCACATGCAGACACTGACTGCGCAGGGGATCCGTATGGGATCCGTACTGGCGCAGGGGATCCGCATCGCAGGCAAACACGGGTCGCTGGCCGCGCTCACGAGCGGGCGCCAGACCGGGCCAGGACCGGAGGAGAGGACAGCTGGAGAGGACCGGAGGAGAGGACAGCTGGTGGTCGGCCAGTACCGCCAGACCGGGCCAGGACCGGAGGAGAGGACAGCTGGAGAGGACCAGAGGAGAGGACAGCTGGTGGTCGGCCAGTACCGCCAGACCGGGCCAGGACCAGAGGAGAGGACAGCTGGAGAGGGCCAGAGGAGAGGACAGCTGGAGAGAACCAGAGGAGAGGACAGCTGGTGGCCGACCAGTACCGCTTACTTGCCAAGCACCGCTAGTACAACTCGTGTAGCCCCTCAAGCATAGGCGGTAAACAACGTTTGGTAAAGGTAACCTTACATATCGTGGCACCTAACGTTGTGAGGACTCCCCAACGGAGTCTATACATGGCATGCTTATATCTGTGTCGAAACGTCACTGGAAGGGGCGCCGACACCTCTCGTGCATCCCCGCACCAGTGTGCCCTAATACCAATCACTAGATTTTATTTTCGCTGGTTTGACCTTGTCATGCCGGCATGTGTTTTTGTCTTCTACTTTTTCTACCACCCTCGGCATGCAACATGACACTGGTTCACGAATAGCCCCCGGGACTGAATGTCATTTCGGGGATGACCCTACAGTACTAACCACATATATAGGATTGTTTCCTCTCACTTTTTTGATCAAGTGGGATTAGATGTGGGCACATGGTGTAAATTTTTTCGACAGATTCAGTCAAGCTCAGCACTGCACAACCTATATATCAGCGAGTACAAGGACATCCGGAGAGAGGCATCCAGACGTACGCAGATGAAACATGCACGGCAAAGCGACCATCATGTATACCCCACAGTTCCAACTGGTGCAGTTTAAGCGGTACGACCACATTGTGTGCATACCATGCTCTGCATTTAGGTAGTCGAAAGAACCCACGCCATCGAGGCGGTTGGAATGTTTTTTTTAGGATGCTATGAAGGTGTACTGATCTGCGTTGAGAGTTTGCCAGTTTTGCTGACTAGACATTTGACTGAATATCATGAACAGAAGCTCTCGGATCAGTCGCTGCTCCCGGACAATTAAGGCAGCACCACTCTACCCTCAACAGAGCAATACCACCTGCGTGGACGATTGCTGCCGGGACGTCTCAACGTGCTCGCGTGCCGCCGTGGCACGGCCACCTCTGTCTCAGCCTGGCCACCGCAGCCACCTCTGTCTCAGCATGGCCACCACTGCCACCTCTGTCTCAGCCTGGCCACCACTGCCACCTCTGTCTCAGCATGGCCACCACTGCCACCTCTGTCTCAGCCTGGCCACCGCAGCCACCTCTGTCTCAGCCTGGCCACCACTGCCACCTCTGTCTCAGCCTGGCCACCGCAGCCACCTCTGTCTCAGCCTGGCCACCGCAGCCACCTCTGTCTCAGCCTGGCCACCGCAGCCACCTCTGTCTCAGCCTGGCCATCACTGCCACCTCTGTCTCGGCCTGGCCACCGCAGCCACCTCTGTCTCAGCCTGGCCACCGCAGCCACCTCTGTCTCAGCCTGGCCATCACTGCCACCTCCGTCTCAGCCTGGCCATCACTGCCACCTCTGTCTCAGCCTGGCCATCACTGCCACCTCTGTCTCAGCCTGGCCACCACTGCCACCTCTGTCTCAGCATGGCCATCACTGCCACCTCTGTCTCAGCCTGGCCACCGCAGCCACCTCTGTCTCAGCATGGCCATCACTGCCACCTCTGTCTCAGCCAGGCTATCACGACCACCTACCAAATGGCGGACAATGACGAGCCCCCTAAGGTTGGTTCGTGACGTGACTCCAGATGCCTGCCCCACCTTGGCCGGGGTGGACAGCGCTCTACCAACTGCCGTACTCAACCAAGTACGGCAGATTGAAATTGGCGTCGTCCTATCACATTATTGACAACCTTCCGAGGCATAATGGCTCGCGAGTTATTGGCCACTTTTCTTCAATAGTTCTATACACTTTTTATTAGTTCGCCATTTGTCAATACACAAATCAGCTATTAACTTCTTCCACTCGAACACTTCTCGTCGCATTCATATGCAGCAAACTCTAAAGCTCATTTAGCTGCTTCGTCTGTCTGATTGCACGAGAGGTGACATCCAAGCAGAGCGTGGTAAATAGTGTGGCATCATAGGGAATGTCGACTGGTATTCCGTTGTGGGTACCCCTTCCCTGAAATGTTGGCTTAGCCCACCTATTTCTTACCGTAGAACATACAAAACTAAGGGTAAATATTAAACATAACACGATGCCTGCCCTGCTTGTCAGTTATTTCATAGACCTGATTTCTATGCCACTATAATCTACTGTTCTTTTAAAGTTTTTGTTATGTTACAAATGATACAAAACAATACCAAACAGTTACCGCGGAACAAACAAAAGTTGCTCAAATGCGTTGAGTCACATCTTTTGGGTGTAGTGAGGGTAGAAGGGGAATTGACAATGTCGAGCCCTCGGCGTCGCCCCTCCAAAGCGCTCAAACAAAACGCTTCTCCTGTGCGTGACGATGACATTCATAACATCTCTAAAGTTTAAAACGATCTCTCCTTGCGAGCTCGTCGCGAACCCGCGCGTACCCCGCCGTCCGGGTCCGGCGGCCGGCCGGCAGCGAGCGGCCGTGATACCGGACCTCTGATCCGACCGCAGCGCTGCTGCCGACCCCGGCCGGCCGGATCCGTAAACAGACGCGGCCCTGCCGTCCTCGCACCGGCGGAGGTCGAGTCGGCGCGCCGCCGCGCCGTCGGCCCCGACGCGGCCCGGCCCGCACACGACCGTCGGCGCCCGGGCGGCTCGCAGGCGGCGCCGCGATGGAGGCCAACACCACGCCGGCGAACGGCGGCGGCGAGGCGCAGAACGACACCAACGGCACGCTCATGCTGTACCCATGGGGCGACTCGCTGTACCCGTCCGGCTACTCGACGCTGCGCATTGTGCTGACGTCGATCGTGGTGACGCTCATCATGGTGGTGGTGGTGGTGGGCAACATGCTGGTGATCATCGCCATCGCCACAGAGAAAGCGCTGAAGGGCATCCAGAACTGGTTCATCGCCTCGCTGGCCGTGGCGGACTTCATGGTGGGCCTGATCATCATGCCGTTCTCGCTGGCGCAGGAGCTGATGGGCTACTGGCTGTTCGGCGAGCTCTGGTGCAGCCTGCACGCCGCCATCGACGTGCTGGCCTGCACCAGCTCCATCAACAACATCTGCCTCATCAGCCTGGACCGGTACTGGTCGATTACACAGGCGGTTGACTACCTGAAGAGCCGCACGCCGCGGCGCGCCATCCTGATGATCGCCTTCGTTTGGCTCTTCAGCGCGCTCATCTGCATCCCGCCGCTGCTCGGCTGGAGGAAGAAGCGCGTCCAAAGCGAGTTCCCCAAGTGTGAGGTGAGTGACGCCGCTCGTCACCCGCAGAGGTGAGGTAGGTGACGCCGCTCGTCACCCGAAAAGGTGAGGTGAGTGCCGCCGCTCGTCACCCAAAAAGGTGAGGTGAGTGCCGCCGCTCGTCAGCCGCAGAGGTGTGGTGGGTGACGCCGCTCGTCACCCGAAAAGGTGAGGTAAGTGACGCCGCTCGTCACCCGCAGAGATGAGGTGGGTGACGCCGCTCGTCACCCGAAAAGGTGAGGTGAGTGCCGCCGCTCGTCACCCGCAGAGGTGAGGTAGGTGACGCCGCTCGTCACCCGAAAAGGTGAGGTGAGTGCCGCCGCTCGTCACCCGCAGAGGTGAGGTAGGTGACGCCGCTCGTCACCCGAAAAGGTGAGGTGAGTGCCGCCGCTCGTCACCCGCAGAGGTGAGGTAGGTGACGCCGCTCGTCACCCGCAGAGGTGAGGTGGGTGACGCCGCTCGTCACCCGAAGGTCAGCCTGCCACCGGTGGCGGGACCCGTCCGCGCTGTGGGAGACGGTATGGTCAGAGCCCAGTCAGGGGGGGGGGGGAGGATTTGCCATTCCGTCAGAGTCAAGTGGAGCTTTTCACCAAGGCGTTGTTGGATATGATTATGCAACCGGATAATCAGGAAATTTATATTAGCTCTACATAAACTTCAGTACCATGGGTGGTGACATGTCGCGCCCAACAAAAGCAATCTGGTGAGGAAGTCAGTGGATAATTGAATGGGTATGTACAATGCAGCAACTGCCTCAATGGCAGCTGGGACAATGGTTTTCGGCACCGGAGCAAACCAACATTGGTGGCCCATTGATGCATCACGAACTGTATGTATAAACGTTTTTGCATCTGTAGCCCGTTCGCAGTGCGTAATTGCTGGCAATAGGGCTGGAACTAGGTCCACAATACGTTCTACGCCTTATCATGAATCGTAACGGCGCCCCTGGATAAACCCCCTGCGGCGATCCGTCCTGGAACAACGCTCGTCAGATAATGGTGACGAGACTCTCTACCTCAGTTAACGAGCAATGTGTCGCTCCAGGGGAAAAGCCCGGGCGAATCATACCGCTGACATTTGAGACATACGGTTGAGAAGCCTAAGTTATCGAAGACGGCTGCTTTCTTTGGTGATTAATGCATGTATCCACACTATTTGTGAGCAGGCATTATCCCATCATGACCCCCATCAGCCACACGACCCACTTTTACCTTGGGTGCAGGCAAATCATGCAGGCGTGCACATATCATCTGTGTCAACCATATCGGAGTGATAAGGCCTAACGAAGGGAAAGTTCCAACCTTGAAATAGTACCTATGGTACAGCAAGTGATAAAAGATCTCACCTCTTGCATATAATTCTCGCCAACTGTTCTGGCTCCCGGATCACCAAGGCACGGTTATCGAGCCTTAGGACTATAGAGGATCCGCTTAAGGTGGATAAAGATACTCCTTTCCTAGGACTATCGAAGATCCGCTTAAGGTGGATAAAGATAATCCCTCCATAGGACTATAGAAGATCCGCTCAAGGTGAATAAAGATACTCCTTCTCTAGGACTACTGAAGATCCGCTGAAGGTGGCTAAAGATACTCCCTCCCTATCAGTTTCGTGGTGCAAATGAACGACACACGGTAGCCTGCCAACAGCAATACACCGTCCCTCGCACTGTTTCTCACTCATAATTTGAACATTATACACCTGCTCTTAATGCAAGACCACGCTTTCATTAATCCGATAACGAATCACATTTTCAAATGGTGATGTTGCTCCAGGGAAATCGGGCAATGAGCCCTAGATCACCACCGGTGCATGCGTGCCGCGGAATTAAGGTATCAATGGCCAAACAGTGGTCGTCAAAATGTTGCAACTGCCTTTTTGAGCCCTTAGTGTTGGGATGCATCGATAATTAGACACGTGATTAAGTCTGATATCGTCAGCTTGTCGGGTTATGTGGTTCGGTTATGACACCGGTGCGGCGCTGGTTGGCTATAGAAAGCACTCCATCAACACCGGGCATCAAAACTGTCTGTCACTGGATATTGTGAAAACTTTTGTCCGGGCTACCGCATCCTATAACTGGCGAATATCGTGCCGTGCACGAGAAGCGACGGTAGCTTCATGCTGTGAAGTGGCTTTATGTTATGATGTGGCTTCATGTTCTGATGTGGCTTCATGTTGAAATGTGACTTCATGTTGGAATGTGGCTTCATGTTGTGATGTAGTTTATGCTATAACGGGACAGAAGACTGATGAGATGAAGCTTTTAGTGTGTAAGCCCATGTAATCCTGACCTTGGGTGATGATAACACAAGCTACGAGCATTGATGACGTGCTTCATATAACCATTTCATATGTTCAGAACCATCGGGCAAGTGGATAACGTGCACACCGACCTTAAAGAGCTTGGCAGACGTTACAAAGCTTGGAGCAGTGACACGTCACAAGTGTCGTGTCACTGCGCACAATTAATTTGTGCAATTCCCTCTTGTCTTAGTATCTCGCATACACCGGGTGAGTCACTAGATATGACGAAATATTCACTTAAAACCGCTCCCGGGTGGGTGCATTTTCTCCTTCGCCGGACAAGGAAGGTCCCGCAGTCGTCTTGCTGTCGCGAAACCAAGTACACCAGGGCTACGTAAACAAGCTGTATATTACAGCTCGCGCTAAACTTCATCAAATTAGTGCCACCGAACATAAGTGCACCTGGTTCTTGGGCAGCGAAACCTTATTGACGGCGTAAAATTGGTGAAAGCAGATCTAATTTGCATCCTGTCATATGCAATGACAACTAGGAAAGCAATATCGTATAGCTCGTGGTACGCTGAATAACATACGATAAGTGCCCCATCATAGAGCATGAAATGTGTGCGTCAGGTTAGACCATAAGTGTGCAACCTGGTACGCACAGACCTGCCCAGTACTAAAGGAACGAAGCACTTGCCATCTGCATCAGATACTGGTTAAAGGGAATGCTCCACATTTGAAGATATTGAGTTAGGCATCAGCTATGAGGGGAAATGCTTCCTTGTAACTACTGGTAAGCTTTCAAAGTTCAAAAGCGGCGCTAAGTAGCAAAATTTCGAAGTTTATAAAAATGGGCTCCATTACGTCATTGTTTAATGGCGTCATGGAATGGGTTTGTGACGGCGGCAAAACCTGGCAGCATCTGGTAGCCAGACCTAAAGAATACCTCGAAACACACAAAAGCTAACGCCAACCGGCCATTCTCGTCGCGGGGCTGTGTCGACGGGCGAATTAGTGGGTGGGTTATTTCTGGATTTTTTATCCTGGTGCTGGCCGTAAGAAAAGCTTTCATGGACTGTTTGACATGCGCAACGTAGCGATCGCCAGCTTTTATGACAGATTATTAATATCAAAGCACGATATGCTGTGCTGCTGCTGTTGCTGCTTTGCTGTTGGTGATTATGTCAATACTTTATTGTCGACCCATCGTTGCGCGGAGTGCTGTAGTCCTGACACTGATACCATGCGATGTGTACAGTAGTCACTGTCCCTATTGCTTGTAACTGGAAATGGGGTGTTGTGCCAAAATTAATGAATCTGTAATATTGTCTTTGTTGTTTGTAACTGGAAATGTGGTGTCATGCGAAGATTAATAAATTTGTAACGTTTCCATGCATTGCTTGTCAAAGCATTGCTATTGATATGGTAAAGATGGGTAAGGTTGGGCTACCAAGAAGGTTTTTTTTTGCTTAGGATAAGTCATACAATTAATAGTTAACCCTGATATAACCATTGTGGTGCAACGACATTCTTGCCGTAGTCAGTCCTTCGGCATTGTTAAAAAATGTTTACCAGCGATTCATAAATAATAAGCCACTATCTCATAGGCTTGACATAGAGTGCTCAACCAATATGGTACATTGTGTAATGACACTGATCAATAGCTTCATTGTGACACTATCTCGGTGCTGTACTGTGACATGACATAATGAACAACAATATGGTTTTTCGACCGCAATCCCTATCGCTTTCATAATACACTCCATCATGAAAACACGGGTGAAGCATGCACTCTTGTATTGACTTCCCTTCTGACATACGACTGACCCAAAGCACATGACACAACATACGAATGACTTTCAGCAAAGCAGACAACCAATAGGTGGCATCACTTGCTCAACCTGCTTCGGGAATCCAGAAAACACAGGTGAGAAAAATGCAAACACATCTTTCATTTTCATGGCCATGCAACATGCTGCAGACATCAGGCTGCTTTACTTAAAAATAACAGGAACATTTTGCATATGGTGAAATGACGCCGCAAACATGCTGACCTTGAACAAGGCTTGAGACATGACGAGTGTATGTAGTTATGGTTGGATGGGGAAAATGCAAGGAAGTGATGAAGCTGCCAGTGCACACCAGGCTCATGATAAACATATTACTAAGTGCTGTCCAAGACGCCAACAGCAACACCTTTCCACCTTTCTCAGCACCCAGCATGCCACGCAAGTTGCAGTGACAATGACATTGATTACTCAGGAGCAATGCTCGCCTGCATACAATATTTGTAAAGACAGTACAATGTGCATCAGTAACAACAAAGCTTTCAGAATTTTCAGAATTCTTTAGGGAAATACAATTTTGCAAAGCCATATAATATGAGCCTATACTGAGCATGTCCGTTAATGGGCAGGATACACCGGCCCGTACTGCCAAAATAATTGTTGATATAATGACATGCAATGGATTAATTACATGCTCTAATACCTCAGTAGGTTAAAAATGTTGGCAAAATCATAATGAAGTATCAGTACTTGCCTTAGTACACCTCTGCAATAAAAGTGCTAGTGTTTCTCTCAGTTTGCCAGCATTCCCTTGTCATGTTCAAACACAAACATAAAGGTAGAGGCAGGCATCACTATCAATAGGCATCAATATATCAGGCATTAATATATCACATTTTATTGGGAGTCAGTAGGCCGCAGAATACCAAAACAATGTTCGCTCTCGGAAGAACAAACCTCGCACGCACA